TTTATATATGTATCTCCTCTATCTATGTCTGCTGTGAATATATAATTTTTTTCAAATGCAGTAATCTGTTAACGTAAAATTTTCAGATGCTCATGAAAGGTATGGAGCCTTCGGCATCGCCGAAGACAGCGCTGCTCTTACTTGTTTTAGCCTAAAACCATCCTTGGGACACGTGCGGCAGGTGGCAGTTTCAAAAAAATCGGTTCAGCCGCTCTCGAGCCTTGCGAAAACTAACAAACGGCTTTCTAAATATATATTAGTTGAGATATATTATATATTATTATTATATTTTGACAGTATCCGTTGTTTCTGATTGGCGCAAAAAAATCTGGCCTAGTGCCGAATTCGCCCCTTGATATGGTCGTTACTTAAAGCTATTTACATTCGAAATTGCATGAAAATTGGAAAACAGGAATCTATAAGCTTATCCAGGCAAAAAGCTACCTACGTACCGAATTTTAAGCAAATCGGACCATAAATACGATTACTTCGAACAGATCGGTCCCTGGTCCACTTCTCGGACAAAATGGATCATATATGCTAATATATACTAAAAAGCTACCTACGTACCGAATTTTAAGCAAATCGGACCGTAAGTACGATTTTTTCGAATAGATCAGTCCCTGGTCCACTTCTCGGAAAAATGGTCCATATATCCTAATATATGCTAAAAAACTACTTACGTACCGAATTTTAAGCAAATCGGACCATAAATGCGATTTTCTGGAATAGATCGGTCCCTGGTCCACTTCTCGGAAAAAATTGATCATATATGCTAATACATGCTAAAAAGCTACCTGCGCACCGAATTTTAAGCAAATCGGACCGTAAATTCGATTTTTTCGAATAGATCGGTCCCTGGACCACTTCCCGGAAAAAATGGGTCATATATGCTAATATATGCTAAAAAGCTACTTACGTACTAAATTTTAAGCAAATCGGATCATAATGAGATTTTTTCGAATAGACCGGTCCCTGGTCCACCTACCAGAAAAAAAGTAAAATTTTTTAGCCTAAAACATGGTGGTTACCGAAAGCTATTTGTATACAAAATTTCATGAAAATCGGACCAGCCGTTCGCGAGATTACCTGTTACAAAAAAAAGGGACTTCTCTTTATATAATTAGTATAGATAACATGCGATTTTCAATACGACTCGACTCTCGAATTACGACTTGCATTCGACACGACACTCGCAATGAGGCTGAACGTTAGGTTAGGTTAGAGTGGCTGCCCCGCGCAGAGCACGAAGCACACGTAGGCTGGAAAAGCCTGTTGTGGTGCCACTGGGCGAAGCCATTTGTTTCTTTCCCTACCATAGTAATTGAACCACCGAGTGCGTTTTATATAGCGCAAAAAGTCGAGGACGTTCGCCGAATTCACGTCGGCTAAACAATCTAGAAAGTACTTGTTGAAGAATTGGTTGCGCGTGTTAGCCGGACAATGCCAGAGATAATGTTCGATGCTCTCCACCTCTTCCTCGTCTCTGCAACTGCGATAAAAATCGTGCGTGGGGTATCCTAACCTCTCTCGGTGTGTGCCAGGTATTGTCCGGTGATTACCCCGACTACTAATCTGAGAGAGGAGCGGTCCAGCCGAGTGAGGGCTATGGATCGCATTACATCAATGCTTATCAGAGTGTCTAGATTTGGCTAGTCAATTAAATACTTTTAAAAAAGCTTTGATTTTGTCACCAGAAAAGTGTGTCAATCACAGGAGGGTGAGTTTCAGGGACCTACCAATTTACTATTTGACTTTGAAGGAAAGAAAAGCAGTGGAAACTGAATATTTAAATCTTTTAACTTTCCCATGGAATAACTTTTCTCAGAACCATGCCGTCCGACTCTGAAGAATTTTGGATAATTGCTTACGGAGTGAAAACCGCAACAGGCAGTAAAATGTTTGGACATATAAGTAAATTCATATTATTATCCTTGCGGCACTCACATTCCTTGTTGAGCGTGTTTTTTCCGTAATGAATTCAACAAAAAATCGACTGCTGAGTGGAAGATCGACCTATCTCGGCAGCCAGCTCGAATACCCTCTATCTCAAAAAACTTTTCAAGAACGCCCTATTTTAGAATTCGTTTCAAAAAAGCCTTAACTCAGCTTCCGATTCAAAAACGCCCTATATCAGCACATTTTCAATACATTTTGAAGTGAGATAGGGCGTTCTTCAACGAAATTCTGAGATAGGGTATTTTTCAATAAAATTCTGAAATAGGGCGTTCTTGAAAAGTGTTTTGAGATAGGGCGTTTTTGAACTGGCTGCCAACATAGGTCGATCTTCCACTCAGCTGTCGAAATAAGATTCGAAATAGGATGAGATTGGAAAGCCTAAATAATTCAATAGTTCGAATAAAGTGTTATATGAAGGCTAATAGTTTCTGCTGCAAAACGTTTGCAATATGAAACAGTATGTTATCAAGGTTGAATAGCCCAATATATGACAACAACAGAATTGTAAATCATTCAGACACTATAGGTGATTTTGAAGAAATTGTGAAAATAGCCGATCTCGCCTTATTATAGGTTTTTATTGAAATTTCAGCGCCGAGCTCTTAAAAGCGGATTGTGCGATTAATCAATTAGTATGAGTTATAATAAATTTAATAATTGCGCAGTCCTATTGCAAAATGTGTTGAAACAAATATTTTTAAAAAGCATGCGTTTTTTTAAAGAAAATTGTTTGTGCATCACTATTATATAAGTGATTTGTGTTATTTATTATTACCCTCTGAAGGTATTATATCCGTTTTTGGCTTTTAAAACTATATTATAACGAGATCACATTTTTAAAATAAAATATTTGTTAAATCGATTTCATGAATTAAAAAAAAAAAATTGGCAATTTTTTTCAGAAATTGCGCTTTTTTTTAAACATTCTGGACACCCTGATGCTTACCCAAAGTTACTCTCACATGTGTCAAAAATGTGTCAACATGTGCCGAAAGTGCCCTGAACGTGAGGAATGCCAAAAACCACATTTCGTGCCCTGAATCAACAAATCAGCTCTAAACAATGATTTTATGTGTATTTATCTTATATGGCGAATAAAATTAGCAAGTACCTACATATTTTGAAACTTAAGTAGTATTTTCCATTTTTGTGTTTTACAGAATTAGCTTTCGGATATAAACAAACAACAGCTGTTATGGCAATTTGAATTTGCACATTTGTGCCCGGAAAAATGTCCGGGCTGTTTCGGGCACGAAGAAGACGACATTTGCGATACAAAAAGTGGCACGTATTCGCTCTATGGGTCAAAACATAGTGGAGCGGCGAGCAAAGCTTCAATTACAAACGTGTATCTACGCTTTGCTCTTCACTATGCGCTTTCCCATTGAAACATATGCATTTGAAATCGACGCTTTGCTCAATGCTCTTTGCTCGCCGCTCCACTATGTTCTTACCCTATGTTACCCATTTTTCTAGCGTGAGGAACGCTTTCTGGACTGTTTTGGGCTCCCGTGGGATCGTGTGGAACAAACCTAATGTTTTGCCGACGAAACGTATGCCTTTCTACTCGATGGGATTAATTGTGTTTGTTTACAAATTAGCCAGTAACTTGCCAGCATCTCTCCAGTAACTTAATTTCTGAGAGTTTGCTCTCATAGATAAAATATCCAAATAAGTACACGAACGCAAATCCCGTAATAATTTGCAAGTTTCATGAACATCTGATAAATTGCTTGTTTATTCGAAGCATATTCTTAAGCTGATGTCACATAAAACTTTTGCTTTGCTTTACGTGACAGATTCGCTTTGACAGGTAAGATGAATTGTATGAAAATCCACAAAGCATGCCACATAGATCGTTGAAGCTGCAACGGGAAGCGAAAAGATGGCTAATGGGCTGTTTTTGCTTACGCGTAAAAGCACATTTAGCGCATTTAGCTCTAAATGCTACTCTAAATGTACATTTATCCATACAAAATTCGTCACCTAAATGCAACTAAATGCAACTCCATTTTTGCATTAAGAATCTGCATTATGCAGCGTTTTTGCTGCATTTAAAATACAACATTTAGCACTTTCGAACATATGTTTTCGAAGAGCGTTCATGCTATAGCATTTAGCAAATGTACATTTACGGGAGTTCGAAATCGTATGCTTTTGACAAACAGCCGTGTTCCAGTCGCTTATTCAGATCCGTATCTATTACGATCAATTCTCACGCAGAAGATAATGTGCAAAAAACCCTACTGAAAAGGAAAAAATACATTTTAAACAAAAAATTCAATACAAAAACTTGAATTGTTTTAACCATAACCGAACATTTGTTTGTGTATATATTCATTTGTCGGTGCTGTCAATTAAAATTTCCTCACTTAATTAGGAAACAAAACAAACAGATTTGATCACAAATTGATCCAGATTTCTATCAGCATCACATCGATGTTGAATTGGCGTAACTTTTCTTTATCCAAATAATGTAAAATAATAAATGAAATCTCGATCGGCGATCACTGAAACGCAGCTAGCCACTGTATACGCGAAAAAGCAATGTTGCCACTTTTTCTCATTAAACCATGTTCGAATCGTGGAAATTTTGGAAGATCACAGGGTTGCTTTTAGCATTTAGATTCTTAATGCAAAAATGGAGTTGCATTTAGGTGACGAATTTTGTATGGATAAATGTACATTTAGAGTAGCATTTAGAGCTAAATAAACAAAAAAAAAAAATACACAGGTTCTTTATTACTTTAAATTGCATCAGGCAACATGCAATTAGCTGTTTTTCGTACTTGCAAATTCTTACAAGTAAAAATTTATCCAGTAAAAACTTGCAACTTAAACTGTCATTTTTCGCTCTCTCAAAAACTTTGCAAGTTTTTGCGCACGAAAACGCCAAAACATGAAAAATCGTTAAAACTTTCTGGATTTAACTGCAAATGGGCAAGCAAACACAACTATTGCACGCATCTTTATGAACTGAGCAATATTTTACTGTTATCGATAAACAATTTTCTTGAATTATATGGCAACATTCATCATTTGCAACAATTTTGTCATCTCTGTCTAAAAATTTGTGAAAATTTTGCCGTGATTGTTGAAAAATACGGAAAAGTTAAAGAAAAACGTTGTTAAAAATGGGTGATCAAGTATTTATTAAAATGCGAATATATTAAATAGAACAAATATTTTTTATATTATACTTTTTCAGCCTCCACAAATGCCTATGCCACCTAGCGCGGGGCCCATGCAGGGCGGTCCGCCACCACCATTGCTTGGCATGCGGCCACCACCTGGTTTGTTACCGGGACCACCGGCTCCGCCAATGTTTCCACCCGGGCTGAGTATGAATCCACACCAACAATTGCAACAAATGCCGCCACCTCCCCAACAAATGCAACCGCCCCAACAACATATGCAGGGACCCCAACAAATGCAACCCCCTCAACAACATATGCAGCCACCACCACAGCAAATGCAACCCCCTCAACAACATATGCAGCCACCACCACAGCAAATGCAGCCGCCACCACAACAAATGCAGCCGCCACCACAACAAATGCAACCTCAACAACATATGCAGCCACCACCACAGCAAATGCAACCGCCACCACAACAAATGCAACCGCCTCAACAACATAGACAGCCACCACCTCAACAACATATGCAGCCTCCACCTCAACAACATTTGCAGCCACCACAACAACAAATGCAGTCACCAACACAGCAGTTGCCGCCGCAACACACACTTCAACCACCACCCCAGCAGATGCCACAACAGCAAATGTCGCCTCATCAGATGCCACCAATGACATCAATGCCGCCACAACAGAGACCACCACCAACACATCAACAAATACCTCCACCTCAACCATGGAATCAAGGGCCGCCGCCCCCGCGTGTAGAGGTACCCGGCGTTGAACAAGGCTCCCGCCCCATGCCACTTATGTCGACGCCTTTAGAAAAACCTGTGGGTGGTAATGGCGGCAATGCCACTGGAGGCACCTCTGCTGCACCCGAGAGTCCTGGCGATGGCAGTGAATCTGATGAAAACGATGACGGCGAAGATAAGATCAAGAAGCCAACCGAAGTGGTGCTACCGAAGGCTTTAGAAGATGTTTTGGCATTAAAAGATCAACGCGCAGCAGAATTCCATATAAATTCGGAAGACTTCACTTCAAGTGACATAAACCAAGGTATTGCAGCTGGCGGTGGTGTTATTAGCAATGATTATGGTGACGCAGGCGACGATTCTGATGACGAGGCCGAGACTCAAATGAACGGTGGAGTAGGTGGAAAAGCGGCCAAGCCAAGTCGTGCAGAGAAAAATAAGAAGAAAAAGCGTAGGAAGAAGCAGAATCGTAAGTTAAGACAGCAACGAGAACTGGAGAGAACAAATGGAGCACTTGATGATGGGGAAAATGAACACGCTGAAGAAGATGAAAATAAAGTAGAACAAGAACACAAAACTACTGAGGCGAAAAAGGCAACAAATGAAAGGGATTCTGGAGATGAAGGAGACGGAAAGAATACAAGGGATAAAGAGAAAGACAGGAGAGACAGAAATAGGGACAGCAGGGACAGAAAAAGCAGGAACAAGGATAGGGAAAGAGAAAAATCAAAGGAAAAGGAAAAGGAAAAGAGTAAAGAAAGCAAAGCAGAAAAGAAAGGAAAATCTGTAGAAACTGATGATGATGTGACTATCGAATATGTTCCGGAACGCATAACAATCGCTGACTTAGCCCCAATGTACCGGCAGTTTTACAGAGTTTTCGAAATTTTTAAACTAGAAAATAAACCAAAACCGCTTGAAAAAGACAAAACCGCTACTGAAAATGAAGGAGCAGCAGCTCCAAAGAAACCAGTCGATAAGATGCAAGACGACGACGATGATGAGGAGAATGAGGTACTGTATCTTAAACGTTACTTTGTGACTTCATTAATAAATATACATATTTTTTTCACTGTTATTTAGGAACCCAAAGAGGACAAAGAAAAATTGTCGAAACGAAAACTCAAAAAACTTACACGCCTCAGTGTCGCCGAGTTGAAGCAATTGGTCTCACGTCCTGATGTTGTGGAAATGCACGATGTCACCGCTCGAGATCCGAAATTACTTGTGCAATTGAAAGCCTACCGCAACACTGTGCAAGTGCCACGTCACTGGTGTTTTAAGCGCAAATATTTACAGGGCAAGCGCGGTATTGAAAAACCACCATTCGATTTGCCAGCATTTATCAAGAAAACGGGTATCATGGAAATGCGCGAATCTTTGCAGGAAAAGGATGACGCCAAATCGCTCAAATCAAAAATGCGCGAGCGTGTACGTCCTAAAATGGGTAAAATCGATATTGATTACCAAAAATTGCATGACGCCTTCTTCAAGTGGCAAACAAAGCCGCGTATGACTATACACGGTGACCTTTACTACGAAGGTAAGGAATACGAGACGCGTTTGAGAGAGAAGAAACCAGGTGATTTGTCAGAAGAACTACGCATTGCACTGGGTATGCCGGTGGGACCAAATTCGCATAAAATTCCACCACCATGGCTTATTGCACAACAACGTTATGGGCCGCCGCCATCATATCCAAATTTGAAAATACCCGGTTTGAATGCACCGATTCCTGACGGCACTTCGTTTGGCTATCATGCTGGTGGCTGGGGCAAACCGCCTGTAGATGAAACTGGCAAGCCACTGTACGGTGATGTATTTGGCACCAACATAATGGATTTAGATGTAAGTAATTGTATTTCTTGAATAACTACATATTTATCGAGGATTTTCTTTGTTACAGAGCGGCATTGATGAAGGCGATATTGAACGTAATCAATGGGGTGAGCTGGAGTCTGAGTCCGAAGAATCTTCTGAAGAAGAAGAGGAAGATGGTGAAGATCTGGCTAACCAACCAGACGAGAGTGGACTTGTGACACCAGCAGAAGGTCTGGTAACACCATCTGGTCTAACAAGTGTACCAGCTGGTATGGAGACGCCTGAAACGATTGAGTTGCGCAAAAAGAAAATTGAGGCCGAAATCGAGGAGTAAGTTGTATATGTTAAAGAAAAAATATTATTTGCACTGAAAATAATTACTATCAATAACTTTCATTTCAGCAACGACACACCTGTTTTATATCAAGTACTACCCGAAAAACGCACTGACCGTGTTGGTGCTTCTATGATGGGCTCAACACACGTATACGATATAAGTGGCGTTAGCAAACCCCCAACACGTGCTGCTGTTACAGTAGATCGTGAGGGTACCGTCGAATTGGCATTAGATCCATCTGAATTGGATTTGGATAATGACGCAATGGCACAACGCTACGAGCAGCAAATGCGAGAACAACAAAGTCATCTGCAGAAGGAGGATCTCTCCGATATGTTGGCAGAACATGTGGCACGCCAGAAGTCAAAACGTAAACGACAGCAAGCAGATACAACCAGTAAAACAACAAAGAAGTATAAGGAGTTTAAATTTTAAATTGAAGCTAACACTCATTTATATAAGAAAGTTAATATGAAAGTTGCCTTTGAGGGCGTTTACACACATATATATATTACGCATAGAGCAGTGAATAAACGCTATATAACATTTCGCAGCTAATATCAACTTGAGGCAGTTTTTAAGTTAAAAGAGAGAGAGGGAATATGTACAAAAAAGCGATGCATTATTCAAAAGTGGCATAGATTTCGTTACTGCAGTGAATCGGCGTTGCAGTGAGCTTGTGCGCGATAATTTGAGGTTACTGTTTAAAAAATTAATATTTTATACAGTTGCTTCCAATCGAAATGGCTACTATAAAAAAAAAAATTATTTAAATAATTTTTTTTTTATAAAAATTTAGTTCACAGTACAATAAAAACCATAAACTTTGTAAAAATACTAGGAAAACTCGGTGGTTACGTTCTGGCCCACTTTCTGTCATACAAAAATAAATTCAACCACACATTGAATGGAAGAAAATGCGCCAGACCGTTCACAAAAAAATTTCAAAAGTTTAAAATAATTTATAGAAACTATCTAAATGGGCTACAAAACGGCATACTCGAAATCTTTTTAAGGAAATCTGATCAAAAAGTTGAAAATTTTCGTTAAAATTAATTTATCGAATTTTCCTAGTTTTTATACAAATTTTAGAATATTGGTTTTTATGCTTTTTGTTGCACTATGAACCAAATTTTTATTAAAAAGAAATGTAATTATTAACATGAGACTTTGAGAATATTAACAAAACATTTTATATTTTTGAGTGACTGGCAGTAACTGAATTCAAAATATGTGAGTCGCTTCTTATTGCAAGGGACACCAATTCAAATGAAGTCCCTCTCCATCTGTTGTTTCTCAAATGTGCAAAGAACAAAATATCGTTCTCTCGAAAGCAGAAGACTATAGGTTTCATCTGGATTCCCTAATTTTGAAGGACACTCCTGTGATCAAGCGAATATGCGAAAAATTATTTCGGATAATAAGGTAAATAATCCAACTAATTGACTCACATATATAAGACAAAATTGCAAATTGAAAAGTACATTTAGCTTTATTAAATTAATTTAAATCTTTAAATCATTTAAGAATTCTGTAACTTCCAACATATCTTCGCTGTTAAGTTTTTGTTCTTTCGCCGTACTGTTCAAACGTCGCGCAGCCGCTCCTAATTCCCTCTTCCACTCTGCTATGCTTTTGTACTTTTCGTTATTCGAACAATAAATAACTTCATTAATGTCCTCATCAAGTTTGTAACAGCAGACGGCTTTAAAGGCGGCACGCACTTGCTGTAAGGCTTCGTCCCGTAGCGCGTCATCACGACACACTAAGTTCAATATGAAAATGCCCTTTTCGCCAATAATACACTTAATGTTGTCAAGTACAGCGGGTTCCAGAAAACTTTTTGGTGGACAACTCAAGCCGAGTGAAAGATCCTTGTTGTCAACGTCAAATAACACTGCGTTGAATTTGATTTCTAAAAAAAAAATATTTAATTAAACAACATTGCTGAGTTGTTCCTGTTAAGAAAAAATTAATACCTTCATTTTTGCAAACTTCTAAAAAGGATAAACCATCATCGATAACGACATGAAAGCGATTATCTTGTTTTAACTCGAAATATTGCTCAGCAACTTCCAGCATAATGGGATCTATTTCCACGGCAGTAAGGCGTACATTGCTAAAAATTTATTAGTATAGAAAAAATATTAATCAGTATATAAAATAAACTCAAACTTACGGTACTGCCGCATGTAAAAAACTGCAAAGTCCACCACCGCCCAAACCCACCACTACGACATCTCTAAACTCATTGGCGTTGTTTTTCAAGCCTGTGACCAACTGCACACCTGCGGACATATATAAATGATGTTGGCAGGCCAAGTAACCAAAGTCAATTTTCTTGCGTTCCTTTTTCCCTTTCAATTTTACTGCAAAAATAGAGGAAATTGTAAGTGAAAGAACTCTTGCTTAAAATTTTTTAAAAAATACTTGTTTTCACTAACGCTTCCGATTGTACTACAAATTGATTACTCAAGAAAATCAAACGCCGAAATACTTTGCCATCATTTCCCTCCACTTCTTCAATGCGGAATTCGCCAGATATTTTCGAAAACCCGCTTACTAAGGTTTCACGCTTGCCAACATCGGCACCCAGCGAAAGGAAAGGTATCTGAAATTCAGATGCATAAGTTTACATTCAATTGTTTTACTGAATATTTATATTCCACCTGTTCCGTTAGGCCCAAAGGAGCAAGGCACTTAATGCTGTCCGCCAATTCACCTTTAACACTATCCAATGAGCTATATTCCTGATCGCGATGAAGTGCTACAACAGCTAAGCGTTGAAATTTCGCTGATTTTTGTAATTTTTTACGTCCCTGAGGTGTAGCAAAAAGCCATTCGATTTCTCTGTAAGTATGTGCATGACACATTAAAAATACATTACGATACATAAATAAGGAAACGCCCGCAGTGCACATACATATGTATGCACATATTCCACATTTGCTGCAAGAGTGCCATAATCCAAAATCGTGTTAAGTAGGCAGACTTAACCGTTACTTTTTCTTCTATGTTGTGTAAAAATTTCATAGCTCTACCGATAAGCAGTAGAACAATATATATGCGTTCATTTTTTACTATGGGAGTATTTGTACATATCGAGCCCTAACCGCCAAAATAACGTAAGCGACATTTTTTTTCAAAATTTTATTTTTGATGCAGAAATATTCCTAGAGCATCTAGATGCATTTCTGCATCAAAAAGAAAATTTTGAAAAAAATGTCGCTTACGTTATTTTGGCGGTTAGGGCTCGATATGTAAGTTCAAAATTTAATGCCGTTTTTATCGAGTTTGCAGCAAATGTGCTGTATGTACATATACTTATGTATAAAATTAAGTGGGAAGTTATTTTTATTTACCTGCCCTGAGGTACTATAAAGGCAGCAAATTTACCCAACCCCCTTGCCGGTGGTTGGTCTAGTACATGTACTGTGTAGCGGGGATTTGATTCGCCCGGTTGGCATAAGTCCATCACAACCTCGTTGTGACCTACAAACCAGCAGAAGTTTTAGCTACATACATACATATATTCACAACTGACAAACACTTTTTACTAACCAGCAATATTTGTACGTGCGAGTCCATTACAAATTAGCGCCGCTTTTTGCACAGCAGCAACTGCATTTGTAAGTTCTTCAGCGTTTGATAAACGTTGCATTTTGTCCTTACCCAAGCTAAATTCTAGGATCTTCAAAAATTCATTTTATTATTTAAGAAAACAACATAAAGAGTAAGGCAAAACACACCGGTATTGGTAAGGCCTTAAATTTGGTAGCAACAACAAGAAAAACTGGCATTGCCATAACTTCTGGATTGTCGCCACTCTTTTCCTGATTAGCGCGGTCTGCGTCTGCACAATGCACTATGCGCAACATAAAACCATTACGCGGAAAGTAATTTAAAATGTAACGTAATATGTGTTCTTGTAACAGTGTTATGCACAAGTAGCGTCCACCATTACTAGAAAAACAAATCAGTTTGAACTCGTTGTTTTTAATGAAAATGTTACGGATTCTTACCGCATCGTGCGCTTAATTTCATTGAAATAACGCTCCACTGTGGCCTGTACTTCGGATGTATCATCGACAAAGAGCGCGTCTAATGTACCTTTATCCAACGCCACAGAAAAGCACTCATCCTCAAAGGTCATTTGTGTAGCGTCCATTTGCAAGAATTTCATGTTCACACGTTTTCGTTCATTCAGCTCCAGCATTTTACGTATAGCCACCGTTGATATATCGATGTTGGTGATATTTCTGAAAGTAAAAGCAGAAGGGTCGAATTTTTAGCATTTTTACTTGTCGGTCACTTACCTAAAACCTGAGTCGTACATGTCCATGCTAAGTTGTGAATTACCACAACCAAGCATTAGTATTTGGTCTGTATTTTTTACATATTTGTGTATATGCTCACACAATTCCAAGTATTCGCCATACCTTAAGGTGAGAAATTAAAAGTGATAATAGTTAATGCGAAGTAGAGAGTAATGTTGCTCACGTAAACTAACCATTCGAAAGCCTTCTCGCCACGTTTCGTGAAGAAAGAGTTCCAGTATTCCGGCTGGGCGAACTCCTCGTGTGATTTGGGCAATAAATTCATAGTTTTATTGATAAAATGGAAATTGTTTATTTCACGTCCCAAGTCCCAAGATAAAAAGGCAAAAACGAAATAAGAAAAATTGATAGACAATTGCAATTAGTATCGATGGTTTTTGACTATCGAAAGCATCGATGGTTTTTGAATATCGAAAGCATCGATGGTTTTGTAAGCACTATCGATAGTTTTCACTCATGCATACATTAAGCCCATGATCCAACTACACAAGATCTGACAAGATGAAGCAAAAGAAAAAAGTAATTTTCTGGCTGACGTTTGTAATTTCGGCGCCATGTTATTTTCTGAGAAAAGTAAACAAAGAATATGAAGACGAAGCATAAAGAAAAAATGCCAGCAATGTTGTGCACATGTTTGTGCAAACCAGTTTATTATTTTTGTACGTGTTTTTGCATCCAATCACCGCGCACTTAATTTTAATTACATTTGCACAAAAAATCACTTAAAATTCACTGAAATAAACCACCGACAAAATACACATAAAGAAAGAAGCAAAACAGAAATAGCAAACTTCAAAATTACGAACGTCACACACTTTTTTCTCAATTGCTATTACAAATGGCTGCTACTCAACCGGTCAGATCTGTTCTAATTGGTTCATGCATTAAGCCTATACAGTTCAATGCAAGCGTCATTACTTAACTTTAATAGTTTCGCTAAATTTTGATTAATATAAATAGTGTCGCTATTTTCGTTGATGCAATTTTGCACACGGCACCTTCGCGTTCTCCAGCTCATTTTTACAACGTTGTTTTGCAAAATGGCAGTAATATATCTATTTTTATTTTTATTTGGCGAAAAATTTTTCAGTTTCAGTTTTGCGTTTTTCGTTTTAATTAATTGGAAATGGGATTACATTTACAGTTACATGGAATGGGGCATGATACAAAAAAGAAGGTAGTTTCATTTAATGACATTCGTTGTTGTTGTTAACCATTTGACTTTTAATAAAATTATGACATTTCATTAAATTCATGCTACCTGATCACGAGCAGTAATATTTTTTTTTTTAAGCAGAAGATTTCATCAGTCCACTCAAAGATGTCGAATATGATGAATCTGAAAATTAATGCATAATCTCCAAAATGGGGTTGACGAAAGTAGACTTCAGAACGGATGAATCAAAATTATACTTATGCTAATTGCTTATAGGAGGGGCGGTATGCGCAAGCCGAATTCAAGTTTTTTGCATACATTGGTAGTTTTAAATTTAAAATTTGTTGAAGTTAATGGTGATACGCTAACCACAAAGCCTAATTTTTTGCAAAATCTGATCAGAAATTTAAAAGTAAATTTTCACGAATTTCATCACGAATCACGAATTTCATGTGAACAAATATTCCCAAAAATTATAAAGCAAAGCAAAAATAATTTTTCCCAATTTGTTTTTGTTTTGCATGTTAAGTTATGAGAACAATTTATTCACATGGAATTGGCGATTATAAAAAGATTTATTTGGAAATAGCATTCTTTAGAATTTGATTTTTAAATCGTAAGATTGCATTCAAAATGAGAAAATGAAAAAATAACAACATAATGCTCTCGTGATTTTGTGTGTACTACCGGTAGTATAGGGTGAGAACGCGTGTTTATTACCCTGTACTTCCGGTTGTGCATTCCAATGAATTCTGGTACCGCCTTCCAATGAATTTTCCAAGTGTTTTTGACAGTTCGCAACAACAACAAATATTTGACGTTTATTCGCAGCGGATAAGAAAAATACTGATTGGCTCAATAAATAGTAATTTTAGATAAATCAACATTTTAGCATTAATTTGGTGTTTGATTAATTGATTAAAACATCACACTTTACCTTATTAAGTGTAAAGTTTAAGTTGGATACTTCAAATATCTGTAGCACTCTTGGAAAACATTATTCCGTTTAAGTGAAAGTGTCGGAGGGGCGTAGGTGCATGTGTGCGTTTGATGGAAGAGTAGGCACTTTGATCGAGTGAAAAGTGGCAATCATTTCTTCTTTTAAAAAACTCCACATATAAAAGTTTTATTTGCAGTAAATGTGGTTTAAATACTGTAGTTACTGTCATATACGTGCATAATCCATCAGTTCCGCACCTCTTCCACCACATGACCACGTCATACAAATGTTTTCGGTTGCGCAAAGAACTCCAATAAATAAAGGATAAATGCGGGCGAATGTCGGTCTAATATTGTCGCATGAGGCTGGCGAAACCATTATGTCCCGGCCAGACTACGAGCAAAATGTGCTACATCATGGTTCTTTGTTGGTGCTGCTGCGTGGCGTAGGACCATCTAAGCCACGTTCGCTTCAGAAAGCGTTTGATAAGGTGCGCCGCGTCAGCAATGTAAAAATTAATGGTGAGTAGTGTGCACAGCAAAGGAAGTAGCGTAATTTTGTTTCACATTTTTTGCAGACTCCACAGGCGCTACCCGTGATATTTGGGTTCGCTACATACACGATCATCCCGTAGAGAACAACGACTGGGGCGATTTCCAAACTCATCGTCGTCTTATAGGTTTAATAACTATTGGTAAATTCGAAAGCCAAACTGAGTTAAATGAGCTTTGTAGACAACATGAATCGTTGAAAGTCCGCTACAGTGGTACACTGTATGACTCACGTGCAATATTCTTTGGACCATCGCCAGCCAACCATGTTGATAAAGTGAATTCAGCTGGTGAAGACCACCAAGGTGAAGATACTACCGCTCCACGAGTCAATGATAACGTCAATGTCAACTGTAATGTAGATAAACATTGCATGCGATTGCAAGATGAATATACGACGCCATCGAATTTTAAGGCGCAAGCGTTTTTCTACCGTGAACAGGATTCTTGTGGCGATTTAGAGCCGCATATTGCTGAGTTCGTACATGCACTTTTTTGGGTTCTGGAAGCGAAACGTTTAGATAGATCGCGGGAAAAGGTAGAAAAAGTAAGCTTATTGCTTGCACCAAAAGAGAAGCGAGACTTTGTCGGAATCGACATGGAATCGCGCAGCAATCGTAAACGCTGTGTCGGCAGAGTTACCAAAAATTTGGCTGACTTATCGCTGCAAGCTGGACTCGTAGAGGATGCATTAAGCCTTTATCATAGTGCTTGCGAAACTTTGCGTGCCATTGGTGATGCGTTGTGGGTAGCTGCTTGCGAAGAAGGATTGTGTTCAGCATCGGCGATACTCCTGTATCCACATTTGCGAGAAAATGAGCCACTTCATCGGAACTCTTCTCTGCAGGATGGTATAAATTCAAACTCCTTTAAACTTTTCGCAATTTAAAAATAATTTCTCTCTTAGGCGCTTCGCCTTTGCGTGCCACGCCGGAAAAATGGCGGGCTAGTGATATGACTGTAAAAGTGAATACGCCCGAGCAACAACATAACTCGTACGCTGATGCTCACGCCGGCACTCCAACAGTACAGATGACATCCGCATCCTCATCGTGTTCTTCAGTATCTTCCATTCTAACGAATTCATCGACATCCGGTACGCCGACATCATCTTCTACGTCGACCATATCGGTAGCACAGCATGGCACTCGTACAACGGAATTACCGGGCAACATATTGAAGCCAGATGAACTGCCTGGCTGCTATAGACGTGCAATTATTAATTATAGTAAATACGGACATGCCGCAGTCATAGAGACGGAGGCGGCGTTTAAGGCAGCTCGAATTTGTATAGAACAAAATCGGCCGCTAGATGTTGCCATGTTTTTGCAAAATATACTCTACCTAAATGTACGCATGAGCGAACCCGATCGTGTGAAGCGCTTCGAAGTGATTACCGATCTATATCACCAAATCGGCTATCGACGCAAGGCTGCCTTCTTTCAGCGTCTAGCAGCGCTCAAATATGTACAACAAGGCAACCCGAATCCCGATTGGTCGCAGACATACCGTCTAATGTTGGAAAGTTTTTCCGGTTACTTACTTGCCCTTGACCCCATGGAGGTGATCGATAATGCTGCAGGTTGGCCAGCGCTACAAATAGATCTGTTGCAAGGTGTTATCGCAGCAGCTCGACGTTTGGGGCAATCAGCGTTGGCCACGCGGCACATGACTTTTTTGTTACAAACGCAATGGGCGCACATGACACCAACGGAGCAGAGTGATATGTGTGTGCAATTACAAAATTTAAGTGCGCAATGTGAAGGTTCACCAGTGCCTTTGGTGCTAGAAAACGGCACTGTTATACCGCCAGCAAATCTAACGGATTTGCCGTATTGCATGGACCTGGTTGTTCGGGATTTGCCGGCGCATTTACGTCCGCAGAGAATCAAAATCGTGAAAGCAGACAGTGGACCTTTCCTATTCACGCCGATACACCTGAACTCAATAGATAGGCGTGAAAAGAAACGAGAAAAGAATAAAATTGGTAAGTATCGGTATTTAATTTTATTTTCATGTTTATTAAGGCAGAAATACACGCTCAGCCTTCTTCTGGGTACAAAACAATCTGAGTGAAGTAACTTTACGCCTACGCAATCCTCTACCATTCGAGTTGACTGTCAGCGACATGCGTCTACTTACCAATGGGATCGTATTTGAGTCGCTGCCACAAACCGTAATTTTGCAACCACACGTCCCAACAACTGTCACTTTGCACGGCACACCTATCGAGGTGGGACAATTGGAGGTGCAAGGATACAGCACACATGCGCTCGGAGTCAAATCCAATTGTCGTTTGAAAAATATGCGCGGTCGCAAATTTCCACCCAACTACTTAATAGATGTGATACCAGCGCTACCACGCATTTCTGTCAAGACGTCGTTGCCCCAAACGGCAACCTTTAGTCAGCTGGCTAGCTCGGACATTGTCATTACATCTGCCAGCTTAACACTATACAATGGCGAATCATCATCTTGCATCATAACCATCACCAATGAGAGCCCACTGCCAGTGGAACATTTGGAGTTAAGTTTTAGCTCGAATGTAGAACAGGAGGTGCAAAAAAAAATCTTCAAAATCGATGAAAAAGAGTTGCAGGTAAATGAATGTCTTTAATTACGAAACTCTATGTCGATGAAATAGTTACTTACATATATATATATATTTTTTTCTATAGTTGAAACTTCCAATTCAACCCAACAGCTCAATTGATTTTATGGTGCATATTTATGGCGAAGCTGAATTTGTATGTCCTATAGTTAGTCAGCGTGCTGGTTCGGTGCATTCTAACAGTACAGTAACGGCTGCATTGCAAGCAGATTATGCTGGTGCTGCTACCATTAGTGGTGGTCCACATTCTTTGCAGTACTCAACGCTCTCATCATCAGGTCACGCAAGTTTGCCGTCGCGCGTTGGTTCGCCTAATCAACAACTACAACAACAATCGGCATACAGTAGACGTAATGATCCTAATAATTTGAGTTTTCGTTCATCAACATCAGGTGGCACCACAACGGGTGGCACGCCTTCATTAGCGGCGCTTAGCTTGCCAGCGGCTGGTGCACAAGGTGCTCAAGGCTACGGGCAGCATGTTGAAGCGCAGTTTCGGATAAAATATTCGGGTGGCGAGGGCATGCAGGAGGGCTACTGCCGTCAATGTGCAATATCTTTTAATCTGGAGCTGCTGCCAAGTGCACAGATAACGAGCTGGGATGTGTTGCCTGCAGAAATGTGAGTACGATTAACGAAATCTACTGCGTGTGTTCGTAATCGGCCTTATCGCGCATTCCCTTTGAACAAAAATATATTGCGTATGATAAAAAAAATTCTATTGTAATCTTTGTAGTCCCTCGCAATTTTATTTGGTGTTAGATGTATCCAATTTAACTGCTCAAGAAATGTCACTCAACTATACTAACAATAAAAGTATACTGATCGAGGCCAAAGAGAGTTGCCGGGTGCCCATACCAGTCGATCGTTGCTCACTCGAGCAGGTGGTAGCCGCGCGCGAAGCAGAGTACGCCGAGAATATGGAAAAAGGTATTGAATTTTACAAGAAGTAATTGCAACTTTAACTGTCGTTTTAGCCAAATTAATGTTTCAACTAGAAAACAAATCTGGTATTTATTCTCCAGACCTTTGTTACCGCACACAATTGCTCTCGTTTAGCGACAGTATTAGTAAACTATGTTCGGAGCACATAGCAGAGCGCGTTAAAATAAGTTGGCTGCTCACCGGCACCGATATACAGGGTATAGCGTCGTTGCACGGCATCGTACTCACACCTGCAATGATTGATTTGACAACCGTATCGCCGCTGCAGTGGAGTAAGTTTAAATTTATTGTAAAAAAAAAATAGTTGGTCTTTGTAAAAAATTGTTTATTTTTCTTTCCATTTCATCAACTCATTAGCGGTCTCCTTTCAAAATACTCCCGTCCAACCACAATCGGAAATCGTATGCGCTGCTGGCCAAAGCGCTGTGCTCAATGTAAGTGTTTCCAATCAGTCGGCGCAACCGTTGCGTAATCTCGTGCTCACCATTAAATTCTATCAAGACTACCTGAATGGCATGGAAAATTATAATTTAGATACACGCGTTGCCATATCCGGTCCGAATAGGTAAGACAGCTCGACAAGCTTTCAATATGTAAATGTGCATATACATGTATAATCTCTCCCTATGCCACGCAGAGTTTCAATACCGCTTCTCCAAAAACACGCACAAATTCAACACGAATGCACATTGATTTTCTTTACGCCTGGACGCTTTAAAGCAAGCATACAATGCTGCTCGAAGCCACAACCCAAAGTAGGACAACCAGCTGGTGGCATTGCCCAAGCGCTAGATTGCAGCGCACCCGCTTTGCAAATTAGCGACATCGTAGGCAGCACGTCCAGCTATCATGAACAACAGGAGCATGTATGGAAATTTATACCGCCCATTGAGGTTACTGTAATCGAGCAATAATGCAACTTATACTTAGTTATAAGTTTTCATATGCGAGGGTTGTGTCCAATACATTGCTGATGCGTTGTTTGTTGGCTTTGTGCGCTGGCTGATGCGAAACAAGCATAAAGCTTTCGCATTTACGCGCAAACACCACTGAAATTAGTACTATTTCATTGTTTTGCCTTAAAAGCGATATTGTTAAATACCGATTGCAGTTCATTTCCATTTGTTTTACTTCGTTTTCAATTAACAATTAAGTGTGCTCGATTCCGTATAGCAATGCAGTTTTTATTAAGTTTTAGTTTGTTTAGTTAGTTGGGATTGAATTTTGAGGGGCTGTGTGATTGGTCAAAAGGTTGCGAAAAGATGATATACATATGTACAGCGATTGTTTTTCACTTGTGTTTGCCGCATAAAATACAACGAAACGTGGTTATGCATTCCCACGACAGTCGGGTCTACGTAACCGGAACGACCCAGATTTATATCTGGCCAAGGACTGTCACTCCAGCAACACTCTCCAAAAACCCTTTGGGGAACTTGTATGCTGCTACAACAACAACATGCATTATTTTATTAAAGTGTTTATGATGAATTAGAAAAAATCGTGTATTGCTTTGTGGAGCGATTTAGCGAAAGAATTGGTTATACTATAAAAAATTATACGTTTCATGTTCCAGAATTAAGCTAAAATGTTTTAAATTGAAATCTGTTTCTCAATTGTTTCAAGTCTCCCAACCAATCGCATAGCTAATTTCCTCTGAAAAATGTAATTGAACATAAATTGTTTACATACATAATAACTTCGTTTGTATATACATAAATATGCAAAAATGTTTACCATTTAAATCGTAAATAATTATCTTAACTTAACAAAGTAGTTATGTTACAGTAATGAATCAATGTGTTGTTTTCTTTCTTTTTTTTACCCAATAATGCACATAAATTCTTCTGTGATTTGCTGATGACTACAGCACCATTCCAGACGAGTTTGATGTGCTCGTGTTACATTAAAAAAAATATCTGATTATACTATTACTGCTTGCTATTATTTTGGTCTACATATCGTCACCAGCTGAAATGCAAAAAGCCGTAACTAACATTTTTTTTTTTATATATAAAACGATGTGGGGACTTGTAATTCGTTGAAATGCATCAATTAAGTCAAAAAATTTGGATTTTTTGTTAGTTACAGCTTTCCACATTTCAAGGACCATATTTATGTAATACTAAAAATTTATATCAACGCTATCTGTATGTATGTACATACGTATGCATGTACTTGAAATGCGTAAACTGACTTATGTACTTATATATGTATGCACATACATACATCTTTTGCTGCGAGATGCATTAACAAATTCTAAGAGCAATTGTTACTACAGGCATAAAGTTAATAAAAAAAAAAATAAAAAAAATATATACATATGTAAATTGAAAATATATATTTGCATATATATGCATAAATGCAGAGATTTTTAAGCGAACCTTATCTACTCGTATGTGTATTTAATATAAAGGAAAATACTTTAAAGTATATCTAGCTGCATAAAAAAAAAAATAAATAAAATAAAAATATATGTTAGTTAAATATTGTATTAATCAAATAAACGCATAGAAACCAAGTCTACGGATAAAAGTTATTCTCATTTCCTTTTTGGTGGTTTTGGTTTCTGACAGGGTGGGTGTTTGATTTGATGTACATATTTTGGAACGAATTTCCGTCCTCCCTTGTCAAATTTAGTTTATAGATAAACCGGTTTCTGCGTTGTGCCATCTTCAGCAAGGCGTATCAACTACAGGTGATAGCGATAGGAGCCATGCTTCTTCTTATGAGCACGCTTGTGTCAAATTATCGCCTGTTTTGCTGTGTTTACATATCCGCCTATGCATACACATATACGTAAATATATACCCTGCAAACAAATGCTCCCGAAATCTTTAAGAGTATCGGAAATATCTTACGATTTTTTTAGGAATCTTTAAAGAAAAGCATATGAAACCGTTGACAAGAACTAGTAAAGATATTTCTGTACGATTTCTTAAAGAAAATTCTTAAAAAAATTGTGGAACCTTTCAGAATACTCTGAAATCCTAGTATGCAGGGTATAAATATACATACGAATATGAAGAGACAAAGAAGCTGTTGTTGACACAAGGAGTTCATACCAACGGTAAATGTTGTTTTTGTACGATTGCTACAACCTGTAGTTATAAGTAGAATCATGCATATTTGTGTAATTTTTTTCGTGCGTTTCGTTTTTTTCTTTGCTAGAGTGTGGGGCTGGTATCAGTGATGGAAAAGTAGGCACAATGGTACCATTTTTGGCACTTTCATGCTCAAAGGCACTTTTGGCACAATTCATCCTGTTTTTGCACAATCATAAAACATACATAGAAATTTAGCATAAAATGCCAATAAATAACAAAAAGTCACATATCACATTATAGATTAAAAAATTACAAAATGTGAAAATTAAGCGCTAAAAAAATTAAAATAAGGGCCGTGAAAATATTTACAAAACGCTGAATTCTATTGTGAATACGCAGTACGAAAAGTAAATTTTCACAAAAACAAGCTTTTAATTCAGAATTTTAGAAAGTTTCTAATTTTGCAATCTTATAATCCATTAAATAAAAGTGCACGTTTCTGTAGTATCCCGTTGATTTTTGATATTTTTTTCTGACGGTGTCATTTTCACCCATTTAAAAAATTTTCAAACACACTTTATATGGAAAAAATGCATAAAATCGAAAACTTGGAATCTCCCCAAAAATTCTGAATTGAAAGTTTGTGGTTGCGAAAACCTGCAGAATTTGTATAATTTTTGTGCAAAGTTTGAAATGCCGATTTGTGTACATGTACTGTGTTTATTAAATTATGAAGTAAAATGTCTCACTGCCATTAGTTCGCATATAGGTACATACATATGTGTGTAAAGATGTCAGAATAGCTATATTTCGGTGTATTTCCCCTCCGTAATCGGAATTCTATGTAATTTGCTATGAATTTATGTAAATATCTAAGGAATCCTTCATAAAAGTGCTTTAGTGTAATGAAGACCATTAGGCACATTTTGAAATTTTTAAATTCCATCCCTGGCTGGTATTATGATAAAAAAAAATAGGAAGGTAGAACCGCTGAGAAATTTTTCAAATTCTTGACGTTTGCAAGCAATTTAATTTTAAAATTTTACACACAAACTCTCACACACATTCTCATTTTCAATCTCAAACAACAACTTTGAACAATTGGCAAACTTCAAAAAAAACCATGGCCGACGAATTGAGAGAAAATTCTGTTAAATGGGTGTTCCTTATAATTGAACATCGGAAACTTAACGTAAAGGCCGGTCCACATAGAACTTTCGCGTTGGCTTTGGCGTTGGCGTTGGTTTGACAGAACGCACGTTAAAAGTATGCTTGCTACAATGAACGCTTGGCAGCGAATCCTTGGGCCACTAAATTAACATATTAACGACAGATAAATTAATATTTCATATCAATAATTGCATTAAAAACGATATTTCTTGCCCGCACTTGATTAAAAAGGAAAAATATTTCACATAATTTTATTTATTCACAACAGCTGACGAGCGACGCACGCGAAAAGTTGAGAGTTGGCCATCTTTTTGCTTTGTGTTGGCGTGAGCGTTGTCGAATTTTGGCTATGTGGACGGCTGCATTTGAATTCATGTATTCATAGTCAGCTGTTGAAGCGACGCCAACGCCAACGCAACGCCAAAGTTCTATGTGGACGGGCCTTAACTGAATGGCACGTCGAAATCTGTTTCATTTTGATTCTCTAAGTTCTACGTTCCGTTAAGTGACGTTAATTTGCTGTAATCAGGCTTTGAGATTCATTTTCCCCGAACGGGTTTACTTTTCACTTGTGGTTTCCATGGTTATGGGCGGATGACAAATTTTCGGGTGAATTTTTTTCTCTCAGGAAAGGCAGATTATCTCTGTGTACTAATGGTAGCGATGTGGATCAGGAAGAAACATCGACATATCGATACTTCAACCACTTATGCATCGATTAGAAAAATGTCTATGCATCGAAGCATAAAATCAATATATTCGATGCATCGATGTTTTTTAGACATCTCTATTTGACTGTGAAAACAAAAGTGTTCCGGCATATCGCGAACACGGAAATTATCTCAAAAAAAAAAACTAGCAGCTTGGGGAATCACCGTAGTTCTAAATTTGGCGGCCATTTAAAATTTTAGGCGAATATGGTTGGCAAGTCCTCGGTTTCGGC